ACATAGACATACCATACATTCATTTCGACAATAATGTACACTCAAATGCTAATGCATGGACTTCTTACCTTGTACAGTCATGTTTTGAACCATGCAAACTGAGCCTATCCAACAACAACATATTTAAGTACACTGGAAAAATAATTGTTGCTTCAATCACCGTGAAAGAATACAAGTTGGGTGTTCCCAGAGTTGATTCCAATAGAATTCATTTAAAGGTCGCCAAGATTTCAAGGCCGACTAGTGATTGGATGGGCCATCTGTTCCATTCTGAACTTAGCCTGCAAGTTTGCATTTGCGCATATACCACTAATGCAGCCCAATCTTGGGAGAAACCATCTGACCACAAACTCCAACGATCGTATATCATGTTCATTCCAACAAAATGTAATACATTACAATGTTAATGCTTAAATATATGATTTGCATAAATATGGAATGCAACACCCAAACTGTTTGAGGGACTTGGATTTATTTCACATATCCCAATGCATTGAAAGAGTACATGTTGGTTGAGTCACAATGAAAGAATGCAAGTAGGTTGTCCTGAGCCGCTTCTAATATGCAACTGCCATGATGCAATAGTGATTTAAAGGTCACCAGGGTTTCATAGAGGTTTATGAGAAAGCCATCTTCGAATCATAGCCAAACACTCCTTGTTCTTATACTCTACAGCTGTGTGACCAGCACCCTGCATAAAAAAGGAGGAAAAAAAAATATATATTAAGGCATCCCTACACCAAACATGACCTTCCAACTTCTCCGAATCAATGTCTACCATACCGAAGCATACCACCCGTATCGAGCAGTACGTACCGGTCTGACAGGTTACCGGTACACGGATCACCCGGTACCGCTATAGTGCTACAATAGTACTATACTGTAGCACTGCTACAATATGAAAAAAAAATAAAAAAAAATATTCGATACATTAGGGCATACCGCTTGGTACATCAGGGTGTACCGCTCGATACGCCCTGATGTACCGCCCGGTATACCGGTACCGTACCGTATCGAGCCCGGGTAGAAACATTGGTATAGTATGGTACAGCGAATCTTGCTCCGAATATGAGTTTCATGTTTGGAAAAAAAAAAAAAAAACTTCATGAAAATTCACCTTCACTGTCACAAATGTCAGGTTGTTGGAATATGTCGTTGCATACCTGTTGAGAAGAGGACCAAGAACTAATCAGAATCAACTATGGAATTTTTTCTTCTTGGAAATTACATTGCAGGACAGTGTGATCACTGTTGCAAGCTTGCTCACCCTGCAACTTGGCCATCGACATGCCAAGATCTCCAGTTGTCAATGACGGAGAAGTTGAGAGATCTTGTCCATTGATTTGTCCCCACAAATGGTATTAGCATGTCATGATCACCACTGTAAATGAGAAGGCCACATGAAACAGAGCAAAGTATTGTTCAGCTTGATAGATGACTGCAATCTGCAGCAGATAGTACGACCACCAGAAGAACATCACCTGTATACCAACGCCCGATAACCGCTGCTTGTGACACTGAGATGATACTTTATGCTGCTCTTGATGTCCCTCGTATATGGTAAGTCATAGGTGCATCTCTGCCATTCTCCTACTGTTCCCTGCATCGAAACATGGGTTGTGAGGTTCTGTAATTACTTGGAAGAATCAGTTAATATTGGAGATATTAGCATAAACTTAATTTATATGGCAGTGAAGTAAGAAAATTTAATTTAGCATAGCAAGTTATGGCTGCCCTTCCGAACTCTCCTATTCTTTATTCAACTATGTGTAGGAAGAATCAGTTAACACAGCATGTTTGTTCTACTTTTGGTTGGTTCTTCTTGGAAGCTGATCTTTACTCCGTTGAATAAGTTATACAGAGGATATCAGCATAACATAATTTTACACTGGCATAAAAGAACAATGTAGAAGTTGAATTTGCATTTTGCAGGTATCCATTTCTTTTTCTTCTAATCTATACTCTTCTTTTATTATTCATTCTTGAGAAGCTTCATCCTGCTACAATTAATTCCCTTTTTTGAATCAGGAAACATGATACCTATCCATAACCAAGGTCTGCCGTACCGAAGCGTACCGTCCGTACCGAGCGGTATGTACCGGTCCGACAGGTGATCGGTACGCGGACCGTCCGGTACCGTTACAGTGTTACAATATAAAAAATAAAAAAATATTAGGTACACCAGGGTGTATCGCTCGGTACGCCCTGATGTACCGTCCGGTACACCGATACCGTACCATATCGAGCCGGGATCGAAACGTCGGTACGATACGGTAGAGCGAACCTTGTCCATAACCTTTCTCAAATACTCAAATGACGAGCATTCCACCAAAATTTACAAATGTGCATTGGAAATTAATTCAACTTCAATAAAAATTACTTTGATTACAGATTCCATAATTATTAATTTCCATGTGAAACCAATTTACATGCATATTGGCACACATTTCTATCCACCAAAACCACGAGAAGAACATTCTGACTGAAATTAAAAGTCACCAAACAAGAAATTGCATGTAACGTTCACCCATTTCTAGTTTACTTTGCTTTTGCTATATACCCAAAAGATACGGAAAAGCATACCTTCTTGATGTGGAGAGCCTCCCTCACAATATCAGTATTTGCCCAATAATAGGCAAGAATATGAGCATAGTTCTGCAACAAGTGACCGATTTGTAACACACAGGAACTTGTACAACTAACAACAAGAAGAATGTTTTAGTTGATTGGTGGATGTGTGTGCAAATGGAGGTCAGACATCCACAACAAAACCATTTCTTAGAATCTTCTATCGGTGCAAGGCCAGATGTTACTACCATAAATGGTGTACCAGCACAGCACTCACAGTGCACCAATATCAGATGAGAGAGATAACTATCGAAAGCATAAGTGGGCATGGGTATTTACCCTACAATTCAGAGCAGGAGTAGGCGGTGGCTTAAGTAGATGTAGGTACTCCTCCTTAAGTGCTCTTCTACCTTTAGTCTTTGGCTTTGGGGACGCAGGAGCACATTTTGGTTCCAAGATATTATACTTGTTAATTTCTGACAGGATCTGTTCATGAAATACATCAACTTAGACAAATACCCAAGAAAAAGATCAACCTAACTTTCACCATGAAGATGATTAAGGTACATAAATCACTCACTTCATCAAAAGTATCAAAACACATTTCACACTCTGAATCGATGGGACTTTGATAATCTTGTCCAACACAACTTCTCTGTATCGACTGAAAATAAGATTATTGTTTAGAGATATTCTTCTTGAACATACATATGCAAATGGTGACTCATGTGATCAGAATTACCTGAAAGAAATCATCTGAAATGATCCCCATACCATGAGCAAATGGCACTCGAGCATTTAGATCAATTTTTTCACCCGTAACCGGGTTGCCAATTACGTAACCCTAAGATTAGTCAAACAGAAAATTTAGTACTAAAAGTAAGTTTTTACCCCCTTTTTTTTTCTTGAACAAAAAAATGGCATCAGGATGGAGAAAAAGAGGAGCAAAAGCAAAGACCCTGCAAGTCCACAATTATCATATTTTGAAGGTTATTTTGTGTCAATCAATATTTTAATGTATTATATCATCTTAGGAGACAACTTACTCAAAATATTATTTCATCATAGCATCACTCTTTTTTTTTTTTTTTGCAATTCTAGAGTTAATTTAGCTTGGAAAATGTTTTTATGGTGCCCATGACCAACAAAGAAATGACACTTGTGACTATCATAGGAATGATGGATGTCTATATAACTTAGTGGGTAGAGTTTGAAAAATGTAACTTGGCTGTACTATAATGAGAACTATTATCACTGATTTATCTAAATTATGTGTAAATAATTTGTTCTGCCAAAGCTGATAAAATTACTAAAATATATCTTGACAAGTTAAAAAGAAGACTGAGTAAAAAATAATTTGTTCTTGATAAACTTAAAAAAAGGATCATGAAAGAATAAGCAATAGTATCTTACCTGGAGATTAAGTAGTGGTCTTTTTTCAGCTTCAATACCTGGGTTACAATAAATTTACAAGTATTAAAAATCAGCATAACATAGTTATATCACATGCAAACACACATATAGATGTCCACAAAAACAGGGAGAAAGAGGGCATCAGTGTCCCATTTTTACTTTTATCTATAATATTCATTTAATTATCTGATATAGGATCAAAAAGATGTAAAAAGTCAAAACTATAGAAAATCCATCCCTAGTTTGCATATGGTTCAGGACTAAAATAATTGAGTTAAATTTCTCAAAAATAAGTCAAGTTATACATGGGATCTATCGTGTTTCTTGCTCTATGTTCTCGGTGGCTAAATTTTCTTTTTCCTTCATCAATAAATAGATTAATCACTCCAATTTTTTCTCAAAGAAATCCAAGCTAAATTTTACTAGCCAAAGTAACAATTTTTTTTTCTTCTTTTGTTAAACTGGATGTTTGAGTTGGCAAAGGAGATGAGAGAAGATTACTGTGGCATGCAAGTTATTTTACTTGATTTTCTTTGATTAAACTAATTTTTTCTTAATTATCTCAATCCTTCATAGTTCAGTAGTGTTTGGTGACTCTCAATGACGAAATCTTTAACTAAAAGATGACTATCTATACATAGTTAAGAATGATATCATGTAACATAGATCATCAAGACGAATGCTAAGGGCAAGAGAGACAAGATATACGAATAGAAGAACACTAAAATTTATATGGTTTGGGACATAACACGATATCCATGAATGAAAAGGGATATGACATCAAGAAATGCAGAGTTTAAGAGGGACATCTAACATATATAACTCAAGTTTCCTGATACACTCACAGTAAAAACATAAAAAGTATAATAACCAAATCGGAAGTAACTCAAGATAACAAAAACTGTGCAAGCTTGAACTGCAGGAGCTCTAACCCTCCAACCCAAGCTTAAATCGTACAAGTTACCATTCAATACTTCTTGAGCGACGATTGGAACAATCTTCCCAGCATAAGAATCTCCAGCAATGTAAAGAGGATTGGAGAGGAACTTTGGGTGATCTACAAGCCACTGCACGATGAATTTTGGGAAAAGAAAATCGAAGGTAAGATGCATGATTTAGTACGATCTAAGTGTTCAAAATTTACTAAGCAAATGCCATGAATCATCTTACCTTTATGAGAAAGGTATAAACATGTTGGGACCAAGAGATGTCTCCAGCATCATAATAGCTCTCAACATGTCTTGAAAATGAGAATCCAGAGCCAACCGGAGAATCTAAAAAGATCATGTTGGAGACCTGGGTACATTTTATCGAGCAAGAAGAGAATTAGTAACAAATTTCATCTTCAAAAGATATGAAATGGATACAAATAGGAAAAAAGAAAGGGGCAGAAGACCCTCAGGAAGATACAAAGATAACATATAAATTTGGCAAGGATAGCAAAAGCACATTTGGAGTGGAAGGGACGGGAGGCACTCGTCACCTTAGTCCAGGAATACGGACGATATACCAAGCTCGGCAAGCTTCCATTGTATTTGGCAGACACAAACTTTAGAGGACCTACAAGCGAACACTAGAGGAACTTAGCACACATATTTCTTCCCACAAGCAGGTGCAATGAGGAAACAGAACAAAATTGTGATGCACGTCTGAGATCTCTCTTTATTAATCTTAGGCTCATATCAAGTCCCCCTTTGTCCCTAGTCGAAGTCAAAATCACGGCCACCGATAGAACGATGCTCAGATTTTTGGAGTTGTATCGATGAGTGAACAACAAAAATCACCATGAAAGAGCAATCCATCTCGCGGATGTCTCCCCTTTGTTTCAGTGTGTATAAGCTATGCGATGAACAGGAAAGGAATGTAAGATAAAAAGGGGAACATCCATTGCAGCTCCACCGAGACTCACCCACTTCGAAGACGAGACCGCAGAAGGCGGAGCACCTCGGGCCGCCAGTGAGCCAGAGGAGCAGAGGGTCCTCGCTGGGGTTGCCTTCCGACTCTATGAAGTAGTAGAAGAACTCCGTTCCGTTCACCTCGTCCACCTCCACGTACCTGCGGAAACAAACGACAAAGAGGCCACGGAGACGGATCACTGCAACCGTTCGATCCGGAAAGAGGTAGAGAAACGAAGGGGAGGCGCCGGAATACAGACCCCGTCTCCAAGTGGAAAGGGAGAGGGCCTCGGAAGCCAGGGAGTCGGGGGACGACGGTGCCCGACCGGGCCGGCGAGGGCGCAGAGAAGGGGAAGAGGAGCAGGACGAAGAGGAGGAGGAGAGGAGGAGAAGAGCTTCCCATCTGTGTTGGGTTACTTGGGAACGGTGGAAGCGTCAAAACGTACGTAGATAGACGAGTTTGCTGCAGGCTTGTCACGGGGCAGAAAGCGGCAACGTGTAGCCGACGTGGTTGACCACTTAATCTTATTTTTCCTGGAAAAAATACGTGGAAATAAATAATTCTTGGAAAAAACCAACGAAATGCTGTGCCGAGCGAGCCATAATTCTGAAACCGTGTCAAATCTTCAAAGTTATATATATAATCGAGTCTTGTCACACTCGGTCGTTTCGATCTTAATAGGGACAAATAATAATTAACTACATAAACCTTATTTAAACGTAAGGTTTAAATAATGATCTAAAAACAATGGATCTAAAAACTTGGCATCCGAAGAGATAAGATCGAGTGATAGAGAAACAGACGAAAGATCGACTATTATGAAACTATACACCAACAATGAAATCCGAGCAAAGGAACGTCAGCAACGATCAACAAAAGGGTTGGTTATATGTACGGTAAACGTGCTGCCGAGTCGTTCTACTCACCGACTGACGGTGTCGGTCGAATTATATTACTTGGGTTTAACTTACTAATCGATTTATGATTTGGTGAATCAAACTAATTTTTCATAGTAAATAAATATGCATAACATAAATAAAATCTAAATATTAATTTTTTTATTATTAAAAAAAATGTATTATTACGTTTGAAGATATTTGTTATCATATTCTAATCTTATATTTAAGTCTGTTAATATATTTTGATTTGTTACGCTATGCTTAATATAAACATTAATACTTATACATGCTCAATTAATATTTCATAGAATATTAAGAATGATATTTTTGAAAAATATATGTTTCAATCTTAAAAGTAAAATATATAAGCTTATCATTTATCATATTTATAAAATATAAATATCAAGAATAACGTATACTATTTCTATTAACATGCTAGTTGTAATTTAATATCTCGGACAGTATATCAAAGTGAAAAGAAAATTCTCAAAAATAAAAAAAAATAAAAATCGACATAAATTAATTCGACTGATACATTAATAGAAAATATAAAATTTTTATTATATAGGAAAAAGAATATAAACACAAATCCAACTCAGTTGAATCTTTCCTACACTATTTTATATCAAGCTTGAAAATTTCTTCTCTTCATTCAAATAATCATGACAAGCCATTATCAATAATATTATTGATAATATTATAAATAATATAAAGATGAATAATGCTTAGTGTGCCATACGCTCCTTTGTTGCTCATATTTTTTTGAAGTTTATCTTCTCATCCTTTCACTTTTGGAAAAGAAAACACTTCAAAGTAAAAATAAAAAACCTTAAAAATGAATCGTACTTATACAGTATGTCGTAGGCTCCTTTCAATGCACATCTTAAATTTTATCTTATCATCCTTTCATTTTGTTAGGGAAAGAAAAGACCTCGAAGTAAAAAAAAAAAAAAAAAAAAAAAGAAACCTCAAAAAATAAAATATTTTCTTTTCCTTTGTCTTCCTTTTCCTTTTTTTTTCTTTTATTTCTTTTTTTTTTATAATACATGTCAACCTCATGTTCTGGATTCGGGTCCAAAGTAGCTGCGACAAATTTATTTACACTTTGACATTTTCGATGGCTAATATAGAAACGTGATGAATTGGTTGTTTAAGGAGAAGTGTGAAAGTTATAGAATATTTGTTTTTTATATTAGAAATACACTTAAAATAAGACAAAAAAGAGTTTGGCAACTTAAGATAATCTTATATAATCATTCAAAGTTCCATCTTTTGGGATTTTAATCAATAATATTTTTTAATTTCTTAATCTCGATCACTTCCATTTTTATGGTTATAGATAAAAGTGGCACTCGAAAGTGATGCTTCTTTTTTGTTTCTTCACCAAATGCAAACGGAGCAGAAAGCCAAACCAGTTTGTATTTTAAGTTGTCCTCTGTCATCCTTATCGCAAGAGCGAAGCTGAGACGCATCTTCCTCCATTTCTACTAGTCTTGCCTCTTTTCTTCTTCCTCCTCTTCTTTCGTGGTGTGTGGGGCAAGTCACTCTTATATTTTCCTCGATTTGAGAATTTACGTGTGGATTTGGCTGTCTCATGCAAACCTGCATTCTTTTTTGTTTTAGTTTTCCCTCTCTATATTTTGTTTCTTCCTATAAAATCATGATATTTATATATGATTGCATTTACTTAGAACAAATCACTAGAATTTCTATTCCTACTTAGAACAAATCTCTAGTCCTAATCTAAATCTAATCAAGATTCCTCAGCACTACCATAGGGACCTGACCACTGCAACATCCCTATCAATCTTATCATGTGGGACACTCAATAAAATGACTGACTAAACTTACGATGATACACCAATCAAAATTGAGTTGCTCTACAAGGCTTGTAGTGAATGTGGAACTTGACTAACCTAACTCCTCGTTTGTTTAATTTAAATGAGGATGACAAGGCAACAATGATCTGAAAATTCCACAGATCGATCCTTCATCCTGTACGTACCTATTGAGGATGTCGATCGATGTGGCTGACGTGTTACGGGGTAGGAAAGAGAGAATGAATTTTTTTTTTTGATAAGTGATAAAAAAAAAGGTTATAGTGATTGTAGATCAACTTATAATAAATCTTTGATAAACCATTTTGTTTGTTGATGACATTATTTTATTTGATGTGAGCTTAAATAAAATTTATTTTAAACTTGAATTATTGAGATAAATCTCAGAAAATAAGTAAAAATATATTATATGTAATTTTAGTATTCAACAGACCAAGAATATAGTAAAAAATAAATTAATTATACAATAGGATGAAAGATATTATCAAACCGAATGGTTAAAATAGATTGAAAGCATCAAGAATTTTGACATGAATTAAAGAAAATTCTATAAGAAAAAGTATTGTTAGACCAATGATGCATGATGGATCTGAGTCTTAGGTTCGACATGCACTACCTCGAATTGGAGTGAGTGAGATCTCGATTTGGAGTGAGTGAGATCGATCGGTCTCAACTTGAGCCACCAACTTTTGTAATAATTATCCGAATTGGCTATCAATTAAAGCAAAAAGGTCACTTCATGGAATACAATAAATGATGACTCACTGACATACACACATAGCCAACCGACATCATCATTTATGCAGTTGACCTAATTTTTCCTTAGAATACAACTCTTAAAAAGGAAAAATAAATTAAATAACATATTTATAATTGTGAATTTTAGTATCCATATATATATATATATATATATATATATATATATATATTAATATTAC